AACCAAAAGCATCATAATTGATATACCTAGATAATAAGTATTTTCTCAATTAGAAAGGAATTATATTTTAAAAAAATAACTCAAGTCTCAAGAGGCAGTGCTAGACAAGAAAGAGCTCTAGATTTTGAGTTCAATGACCTAGGTTCTATTCTACTTACTTGTCAACTGCCCAAATTGCTTAATCTCTCTGAACCTCAGTTTCCTCATTTATAAAGATGACATCATACTCAATAACACAAGAGCATCAATAAAATGGAGATAACACAGGATAGTTAGGAAAATCAAATGAGATAATATGTACGCAATCACTCTGTCAACAGCAATGTTTTATACAAATGCAATTTATCTAGGTAATAATTAAACCATAGGCTAATAATTGGAGATACCCATCTAACCCAACTCTCTTATTTTGTAAGAGAAGAAACATTGACTCTGGGATGTCAAATGACTCAATGTCATATAACTAGTTGGTACCATAATAAACTCCACATCTCCTGATTTCCAATCCAGTGTCGTCATGCTACCCTCACGGTGATAGGTAATGAGCTAGATTAAACATTAGGCCAGTTAGAAACTCAGTCATTCAACAAACGTTCATTGAACACCTACTATTTGCCAGGTACTACATTAGGTATTAGGGATTCAGAGGTGAACAACACCATAATATTCCTGCCTTCATGAATTTAACAGTCTAGAAAAGAAACTATTTAATCTACATCTATAAATATTGAGTGCCTACTATGTGGTAAGCACTATGCTAGGATTTTTATTCAAATACAAATACAAATTCCCAGCCAATTCCAATGATGTCAGTTACGTTTATCAGACCTTGCTAAAGAATGAATAACGTAAAAAGTCTACATTTTACTCAATGAAAGTTAGTATCATAAGTGGCAAGTTCATTAAAAGTTCATCATGCAGGCATTTGAAAAAGTAGGGAGAATGGGGAAGATGACTAGGACTCCATTCTCTTCGAATCAGCAAGACTGAATGGAAGTGGGTTAGAGTTAAGCCATGTCCCTCTACAACATCCAGACTTGGAGGGTTGGCTCAGTTGGGGAAGCCCAATATCAGCAACTCCTCCCCTTCCTACAGCCTCTATATAGGGTGCTAAAAAAAAAACAAAACCAGTTGCCGTGGAGTTGATCCCGACTCATGGTAATCCCATGTGTTTCAGAGTACAACTGTGCTCCGTAGGGTTTTCAGTGACTGTGATCTTTTGGAAGTAGATCATGCCTCTGGATGGATTTGAACCGTGAGCCTTTTGGTTAGTAGTCAAGCATTTTAATAGTTTGTGCCACCCAGGGACTCCCTTATGAGGTCCTAGACTGTTCCTTTACATCCCGTCTATTTGGAATTCCTCTTCCACCCCCACTGCAGCATGTCCTCCAGGTCATACTCTATGTTAAACAGCACACATGTGGGAGACTCACACTCACACTATCAAATGAGTAAATACATACACACACACTCTCACAAATGATAGGATGGGGCCTGCTGAGTCAGCATCTTAGACCTCGTGAAAACAGGCAGAGCCCGAGGCTTTCTGCATCTCGCACTGGAACTGGCTACCAGGCTGCAGAGGTGGGCCACTAGTTTGTTTGAAAGTTTTCCTGCCAAAATACCACCAAAACTATATCATTTGGAAAAGGAATATTTAAAAGCTGCTATTTTGCAAAAGCTACTTCCTCTCATTGATACGGTGGCAGATGCAAAGATCCTAGGCAAAAAAAAAAAATGCGGCAAGAGTAATACTCCACTCTACCTTGTAAAAGGCATACTAAAGGGTGGGAAAACACAGGCCCTTTACCGTCCCACCCTGTAAATCAAGGCACAACCAGCCAATTTCCCCTCAGCTTTTGGCTTAGTTGAGACTTCATCTTTTGATGCACAGGCAGAATCTGGGGACACTACAATCTGAAATATAGGAATACGGTGTGTAGAATCTAATCAGCATTTACTAGTATAGTTTCCTTGAAGGCAAACACATTTTCTGAGGGTGGAACGGCCCTGAAGGCCTTCTGGTTGTGGTATTCCAATCAGCTCTGGGATGCCAGCCTTCCTGCCAGACTCTGGACACGTGATTTTGCAACTGGCCATTCTGGCCAGTTCAGATCATGAATACCAACTGGCCTTCAGTCATTGGCTCAAAGCCCATTCCCTCGATTTATCTCCTTCCGTATCTGTAACTTCATTGACAGTTCAGCTGTTTTGGCTATGGCATAATATATCAAGGTCATACAGGGCTTTGGAGCCAGACAATCCTGGATTTGAATTCCAGTTGCTCAACCCCTTTTTAGAGATGTAGCTTTGGGCAAGTCACTTAAACTCTCTCTGCCTCACTTTTCCTCTGTGTAGAATGGAAAGAAGACCTACCTCGAAAGTCTGCGGTAGACATCAGATATAACAGGTTTAAAAGACTGGCATACAAGAGATGCTCAATAAATGGCAGCTACAGCTATTCACAGGGTCCCAAATGACAGTCCTGAAATCTTCTATCATCCGCTGCATCCATCACCTGCAGCCATCCTCCAGAACGTTGCCAGAGTTTTAGCAGCTCATTTTTCTCTCAATCTGAGATGCTCACTCGCCGGGAAACGCAGCCTAGCAAGCATTCCAAGGATGTGTGACTGCGTGAGTTTCGCCACTTATTTTGAGCTCCACAGGCAGCATTGCTGACCCCCAGGAGTGATGGGGTAACTAACATATGTTTGAGAGCCCCTGCTGTTCCTACACAGCCTCCAGAGCCAGGCAAGCACCAGGAGTGAAAGCTCCTAACACAGGCAAGCGGTCTGGGCTATGGAGGGAGGGTGTGTGTGTGTATGGGACGCTGTGTGATAATCGTTGTGCTTCTTTAACTTTGTGATTCTATGGAAGGAAGGAAAAAAGCAAGAAAGGAAGACAGATTCTGCCAGAACATGTACTGATGATGTCAAATGTTTTGTGTTTTGTTTTGTTTTTAATCCTTTTACTTGACCCTAGACAGATGGAAATTTTCTGTGACCTCATACCCCAGAAATGTAATTTCAATTCCTGGGTTTGGAATACACTAGAAAGGAGGAGATGCAAAATTATCTAAATAAAATCATTTAATTCATTTTAATTGGTTAAATGATAACCACCATTTGCGGGGAGAAGGGGCAGAAAGAGGTGTGCCAAGAAACAAAACGTCTGACTTTTTAAAGAAATGCCAGAATCAACGCTCTGGAACATAACATTTTAACTCCTTTAGACATCAGTTGGGCTGTACTAACTCTAAGTTTCCAAACTGTTATTAGACAGGCTACAATTTATTGTTTCTCAGAATACGAGACTACAAATATTATACACATCCTTTGGGAACTACTTATCTATTCTAAGGAAGACTTAGTCCAGACGGATGAAAAATAAATAAATAAACAATAGTGTCAACTCCAAGTAGGACAGGACAGGCAGAGGGCTGTAACAAAGAACTTCACAGGCTCACTCCTCCATCATCTGCGTGTTTAGTATGGGTTAACCAACCTATCAATTCAATTTAAAATTTAAAGCAAATTGCACAAACACCTTTCTCTGGATTACAAGACAGCACATGCCAAACGTTTCTGTGCAACCCCTGTGGCAGCAGAAAAACTGCCTATCCTGCTAATCCATTTATTATTAAGTTTAGCAGCAGTGCTCAGCTCAGAATGAAATTCAAGATCCTCCAGAAAATTCAGTGGGAGACTACCTTCCTGAGAGATCATGGGGCACAGCATTCCTGTCTTGAAACTTGGCCAGCTCTCAGCTTACAAATTAGTGCGACAGTCCCCGTGTCACAAACTCCCACGGGCAAGAAATTCAGGAAAAGACCTCTCATTCATTCATGGTTAACACAGCCCAGAGGCGGATTCCCGCCGCTGGGAGACGCTGCCCCCATTCAACTCCCACCAGAACCGGGTAGTGTGCCCTGTATTTAAAAAATATCTCAATTCTGGAGCCTCAGGACTTGGGTAAGGGAGAAGAGGAGATCTCAGAGATAAAGAAGAAGAAATCCCAGAGACAAATAATTCAATAGATTTCAAAGGCAGACTCTAATAGTGGAGCCTGTTTGGGGTCATGGGGGGGGGGGGCGCACACCTGCCAACACGCACCGCAGGCGCAGATACGTCCTTGCAGCTCACTCCAGATCTCCCGCAAATCCGGGCACTTACACACAAGAACGGAGCTGCCCCGCCAAGCTGCCTTTGCCAAAACAACTCGCCCTCTCCTCCAACTTGGACGAGAGCGAATGTCCACCAAGATTGCAAGGGGTGTTTTTTCCCGGGACCCAAGTCCTGCAGGGCTCCCTCCCTGCCGCTGGCCTCACAAGCCTTCGTCCTTTCTCTGAAATACTCAGACTTCACACGATTCCTTTCGAGGTAGCTCCAGTTCCGGGCAGCGCGCGTCCCATCACTCAGGGCTGAAGCCCAGGGCTGTCCAGCCTCTCTCACTCTCAGGAAACTTCGCCGCCACCCCACGCGGAGAAGTAAAGGCCACAGGCAGGGGGGCGGCAAGGAAAGAGGAGCGGGTCCTTGGGACCGAGGGCACCTCCGGAGCGGGGGCGCGGGAGAGAGAAATGAGTGAACTCGAGCTGCTACCTGCCTGCTCCACGTGCAGGAACGGGGAAAGGCGAAGTGGGCGACATGCAAGTGCCCCATCTCCTGGAGGGGCAGGGGACAGAGAAGTCAGAACACCCCCACCCCCACCCCCTTCGCCGAGACAGCTGCCCTGCGCCCCCAGCCTGGGCGCAACTAGATGTGCGCGCAGCGTGCATGCCAGGGGAAGGGGCCGGGGCGCGAATATCGCGCGCCGGGCGCCTACAGGGGCCGTGCCCCAACCCTCGCTAGGGCTCCTAGCCTCAGAGGGCGGAGGAAGCAAAACCTAGCTTTCTAGCAGGGACCACGGGTGGGTTCCTTGCCCCTGCCGGCGCACGCCCACCCGCAGAGGCCCCCAGCCCTGCCCACCGCGCGCCCCGCGCCCTCGCCCCGCGTCGCCCGCACCTGTATGTGGCAGGAGATCTCCGAGTCGTCCAGCAGCCGGATGGTGCATTTCATCTCCTGGCTGAGCGATTTGATGCTGGAGCTCCGAAAGTGGATCATTTTCATGGTCCTCCTGCCTCTCGGCACACAGTGGCAGGAGGCGAACATGCACCGCGGCCCGGGAGACCAAGCAGAAGGCTATGGGCCGGCACGGCGCTCGCCCGCGCAGACACACACACTCGCGCACACTCGCGCACGCACCGTCCGGGGCAACCGGGCGCGGCTCAGCCCCGGGACAGGGGCGGCGTCGGGTGCCTGCGGCCACACTTGCCCAGAAGCCGGGCGCGGCGGGCGGGTCCCTCCCTCCCCCCCCCCCCCCCCCTCGCCCGCTCCTGTCCCCGCCTCCGCCCCTCGCGCGCGCTCCTGCGCCTCCCTCCGGCCCGGCTAGCTCGCAGAGGATGCCTCGAGCCTCTGACCCCGAGTGAGCGCGCGACGCACACACTCCCACGCTCGTGGAGCGGTGGGAGAAGGCGGCGGGGGGACTGCTAGCGCGGGTGGCCCCGGGGCAGCGGTGGTGGCCTGCTTCGCCACCTTTGTCGCCGCTGCGTCAGGCTGGGCCCCGCCGCCTCCCTCCGGCCTCGCCTCTTCCTTCCTCCACCGGTCGCGATCGCTCTGGCTTCCAGTAGCGTTTGCCCCTGCCCGGGCTCCCCCACGCGCCCAACAGCGCCCTTCTCTGCTCGGCCCCAGGGACCTGACCGAGGGCGGAAGCGGAGGGCGATTCAGACTCACACCTGGGGAAGAATTCTGCCGCGGAAGAGGCTTGTTGGGCCAAGGGCGAGCCCCGAGAATGACCTGGGGCCCGAGCACAGCTACACTAGGGATATGGCTAAATAGTAACCATCTCTGGTACTCGGTGATGTTTTTCGCCTTTGTTTTATTTAATATTAACTGAGAGGCAGCCTCTGTAAGAATTTCAGAGCCTTCCTCAGGGCAAATTCCCGTGCTGTCTCCCAGCATCTCAGTATGGTCGTTGGTAGCAGTCCCTGGAACCTAAGCAAAAGGGCCCCTCTCCTGGCCCTGCCCCTTTAGAGGCCCTGGTCCAGCGCGCCATTGCCCAGGATGGAGGAGTTGCCAGAGCCAAGGAGGTGTGCCCACCCATTTGGACCAATCTCTGAGTTCCGGGGACCCTGGCATTCCTTGCCCTTCTCCAGGGTGTTGGTGGGTGGGGAGGGGGGAACGTCTCTGTCCTCGCCTAGTGGCTCAAGCTCTGTGTGGTGTGCCTGTAAGCCCAAGGAGCAGCCAAGGGGCAGTTGTTGAAGCAGGCGGACGAAGGTTGGCTGTGGAGGCTGGGAAGTCCAGGAGTAAGAGAAGAAGAAGGACCTCTCACCCTGCTGCCCCTTTTCTGGGTTGAACAGGTGGTTATGAAGGTATATTTGTTAAAGGAAGGACTTGCTGCCCCAGCTGTCAGTTCTATTAAGGTTTGCCTCAGCTGCAGAGAGCCCCCTCACCCAGAGGTATGTCCTTTCCTGGGGGCCTGGGGAGGGGTGGCCCAGCCAGGGTACACTCTGGTGGGCCATGTATGTGCTAGAACATCTGGTAGGCTTGACTGAGGCTATGTGGGGACTGCACTACGGTCTGACTTCTCCCTCTGCCTGCTCCTGCTTCCTCACCGAGAAGATCACTAATACACATTCTACCCACCCAACTCAGTCTCAGCATCTGCTTCTGGAGAATCCAAATTGCAACAGTTTGTCAAGAGAGGATAGCATATATTTTATTTAACAACTGGTAGTTCGCTTACTGCTTGTAAATGTCTAGACAATAGTATGTGAGCCTCCATGTGTACCCTTGCCCTGAGCCCTGCAAATGTTAGGGTGGGGTCTGACAGCAAGGTCAGTATTGAGGCTCTGGGAACATGTTGATTTGATTCTTGGCCCAGCTACTGACCAACCCTGGGAAACTTAGGAAGATCCCTTCATTTATTTTCTCAGCTTCAAAGGGGAATGGACTTCTGGTTAGTCTCCCATCTCACAGGTGGCTGAGAAGCTGGGATGAGACAAAGCTTCACAATCTGTAACCTGTGAAGCCCCATATGCATATGTGAGGTGGCAGTGATGATGGGACTGTTCCACTCCAGTTTGAAAACTGCAACCAAGGTTGAATCGTCTATCTCAACCCAAAAAGCAGATCTAAGATAGCTGAGAGGTCAAAGAAGTCACCACGGATACAACCATTTTGGAAAATGATATGGCGCTTCCTCAGCTAGAAATAGACATACCATTCGATCCAGCAATCCCACTCCTAGGAATATATCCTACAGAAATAAGAGTCGTCACTCGAATAGACATATGCACACCTATGTTCATGGCAGCATTGTTCACAATAGCAAAACGATGGAAACAGCGTAGGTGCC